CCTATTCCAACCACCCATGCAGCCTCCTCTTCCTACACCTCCTCAACAGTAACCTAAGAATCCACATCCCTTCCCCCCTGATTCAGACCAATAGCAACAACGTCGCTCGCTCCACCTATTCATCTACATCTCTAGCCTAATCCACTCCCCGACCCTTGCCAAATCTTGATGTTTGTTGTGTTTTTTAATTTTGTTTGAAGTCTTGATTGTGACCGCATGTATTTGCTTAAAAATATTTTCTTTTGTTATTAAGGGTTGTTTAATTCAGGTATCACTGCATAAACTTACCCACCAATCTCTAGTATCAACCTTTTTTCCACTTGTCTTTTCTCCCTTTGAATGTAACATTTTGTTGAAACCCATAAGAGTCTCAACAGGTTTACACCCCAACATTTCGGTCTCTTTTACTAGGTTTAAGATGCAGTTTCTTTAGGATATCACAAATCTCACATTATAGTTGGTCACTTCCATGCCCAAAAAATATCTCATAGCTCCTAGATCATTCATTTCAAATTCAGTGGCAAGAGCCTTCTTGATCTTCACAATCTCTTTTTTATCATCATATGTTAAGATCATACCATCTACATAGATAATGAGTATGACTTTCTTACTTTGTGTATGCCTTATGAACAGTATATGATCAGCTTGGCATTGGATGTAACCAATTGATTTCATGGTCTTGGCAAATTTGTCAAACCAAGCCCTCAGAGATTGTTCGTCCATAAAGTGGCATTATTATTTTATAAATCATATGTTTTATTTGAGCTTTTTTTCAAACCTTGTGAAATCTTCTTAGACACTTCTTCCTCAAGGACTTCATTCAAAAAGACAATCTTGATATCAAATTATTGCAAATCTCACTCTTTCTTCTTCACTGCCAAGCAAAGAAAAATTCTTACAATGTTTAGCTTGGTCATTGGTGCAATACGACACTTGATAGTTTATCCTATAAGACTGAGTAAAATCGTTGGCCACCAACATAGCCTTGAACCTCTCAATGCTCACATTTGTTTTGTACTTGATATTGAACAACCATTTTTCCCGATGGGCATTTTATCTGGAGGAAGCTTTGTAAAAGTCCATGTGTCATTTGGATCAAGTGTATCATTTAGATCATTAGCTTGGATCTCCTCTTCAATTGCTTTTTTTTTTTTTTTGACTTTAAAGTACTTCATGAATAATTGACTTGGGTACATGCAAACTTCAAAATTAGATACAAAAATTTTATAAGATAATAATTTCCCATAGGCAGCATACTCTAGGATAAGATAATTTGTGCAACTTCTTTATCTTCTCCATTGGATTTCATATCACTTGGAACTTCAAAAATGTGTGAATTCAAGTTTGGTTGTGAACAGTCCTCTAATTGCATATTATTTTTATCATGCTCAGTGAATTTCTCTCCTAATAAACCCACAAAGTTTGCTTGTTGTCAATCTAATATTGGATACCCCATGGTTGCATTTTTGCCATTCTTCTCATTTTTTTATGCTTTGCATAAATCTTAAGCTTTGGATACAAAATCGACACCGAAATAAAAAAGAGACAGCAGAATAGCAAATCACACACTTTGCCCCAACAATTGTTTGAAGTAGATTTATCCTACAAGATGTCTTTAACCCATTTTCGGCTGATTTAAACCAAAATATTAATGCAGCACATGTTGAGAGACAAAGATTATACATTGCCATTTTCTAAGTAGGAGAAAAAAATGATACACTAATTCACAATTTCTTTAAAAAAATAATAAATCTCTGCTCCTACTGTAAGAATGAAAATTGTTATCATAGCATTTCTCTTCGATCACCTATTTGGACTACAACAATTATTAATTGCTATATATCAATGGATATGGGGAAACAAATCTCTTCACAAACCTAACCATCAAGGAAAGATAAAGAAAGCATTAAGAAGAAGCTGGATAAGAAAATAAACAGAGAAGAAAAATAAGAAGGCATCCGATCAAATGGAGAAATCTGAAACAACAATCTAACTAAAACAGCAATCAAGAAAGAAAAATAAAAAAAGTAAGCCATTGAGGAAATCAGAACTGACGAAGAAAAGAAAAATTAATTTACACAAACAATGGGGGCGAACCACTTATGAAGGCACCCCTGTAAGATCACTCCAATTGCGTAAATGCGGATTTTTAAGCCCCTACCTACACGATTGGATTACCTATTCTCAGCTACTTGGATTGGCAAATGGCTGGTGATGTGTTTCATCATTTCCGACTGCCCAATTCTACTATTTCATTAATTCACAACAAATAAATTCATACCAAATATTTTCATGTCCCTACATGATTAAAAAAAATATTAAACACCATAGTTGAAGCCTAAACTACAAAGAATCCAATCCTTCTGTTTATACAAAAACAAAATCAACAAAAACATAGAATTTTTAATATCTAAGGAACAAAGAGTGAACAAGACATGCAATTAATTATCAAGCCAGAATCATACAACGCGGCTTTTTTAATGCTAGAGGACTTTGCACCGCCCCTTCCTCAGTCTCCACACATTGACTGCCCGCCACAAAATATTCAAAACGAATTCCCTCGCTCCCGAGCTCAAAACCTCTAAAGATGTCGTCGTCATCGTCGCCATTGCCGCCGTTGCCACAACCCCTTTTCAGTCTTAGTAGCACAGCTTGTGACCCCCCATGCCTGCCCGATTGAAAATTCCTTCTGACAAATGAAGCATCAGTGAACTTTTCCAATGGCGGAAAAGAATATTGAGGAGATAGTGGTAGAGGAGGCAGCATGCTTAGCCAAACCGCCAAAGTGCTTCGTCCAATGAAAAAAAACTCGTTGTTTCTTCCCGTGACCAAGATAGCATAATAGCAAGTAGACGGCGAGAGACAGGAGCGATGGGGTATGAAACGGCGCAAGGTGGCGAGCGACGGCGACAAAGCGAATGGTGAACTCCGTGCGCTGGGTGCTTATTTTGAAAGGAGCATAGGTTTTGGGTGGTTGGCTAGAGTGTAAATTTTAATGTTTGGATGTTTAACAAATTATATTGAAAGTCTAGGGTGATAGCGATGTAAAAACCCCAAAATAAAAATAAAAATCTAGACATCAAGAAAAATCTTATCCTACACAAGAAGCAAGAAATGTTTTTATAAGGGATAATCCAACTATGAAATTATAAATAGCTTTTACTTCTCTTATTAGGAATAATTTAACGAGTTTTTCTTCACAGTGTAGGGAGCCATAGTGGAATCCGAGACTTTGCCAAAATTGGTTGTCAAGTCCTCCAGACCCACCCTAGGACCGTCAATTTTCCAATCAAAGAGTTTTCCAGTAGCTAGAAAGCGTTCAGCTTCTAGAAATCGGGTTGTTCTAGAAGTGGAGGGCTGTTCCAGGGCAGATCACCCTAGTGATGCCTCCCTGCCAAACTCTAAGCCTTCTGAATTGAATTAATCTAACAGTAGCCGACTACCTGGAATAAATAATGTGTAGTTTACCTGGGAAACAATATTGCTGCAGCCGAAAATCATGACAGCAAATAAATGTGAGTTTTGTAATTTGAGAATGTTTCCAGCTCAAAATCTCTGTTTTCTATTTGTTTAACAATTGGTGTTGATCTCCTGAAAACAGTAATTTACCATTTCTTCCCAATATCGAATCGATGCAACTAGTTAAATATTTCTTATGTATGGCAACTTTCCGAAGCTCCCAGTTCTTGATTCAAGAAATATACTTTAACAGGTCTTATGTTGTCCAACTGTTTCTACATTTAATTCCATTTTATTGAACAGTAATATACTCCTTTCATTTAAATTTTTCGCTACAGAGTGCCAGCAATCAGCCATACTAGTGACTCCAGCAGGGTGAGTTTCCATTCAGTAAATCATCCTTCAGAAAATTACACTGGGGATTGCCGCTGGCTGGGTTAATACTGATTTGGATAGCATTAACAGCCAGTAATGATGGATCTACCAAGCTTATTTTGAAACCAATTATAAAATTTCATACTTAGAAAATTGGTATTCTTTTCTTTGCTATCAGTAATTGCCTCAACTACATTTCTTTCGCACATGCTGCTCCGTCCCTTCCAATTCAGTTTGTAGCTAGTACTGCATTTGCCTACTTTGTACTGAGTAAGACCATATGTATCAAAGCTTCGGTAGCCATATTTTTTTATTGTGTTTGGCACTAAGTTGAGCTATTTCTGTCAAAGATTTCTTCTAATTGAGGGGTTAGTTTCAATAGTTAAAAATTGTGAAACGTTGTTGGTCAAGAATAAAAATTTTATTCGTCGAGTTTTCATTTTCATATATTGGTGTCACCTTCGATCAAGTTTTGGCCAGCCTAGCCCCAACACCCTGTACTAGAGTAAAAGATTTATCAAAAGTGTCAAAATACTCTATCAGTTTGTGGATACCGTCCTGCTGATATTCAAGCTTACCATGTAATCTAAAATGTTATCAGGCACTATATAGTAATAATATTCATATTCATCGTCATGATCATCAATGAGCTGTTAACACATATTAAGAAATTTAGTTACAAATAATTCATATCATAGGGCATTTATACAAGCAACACTTGTTCCAAATTGATATTGATCTATAATGATTCGAACTCATCTTACTTAAGCATGAGAGTAGAAAGGCAACTAGAAGGTAGCCAGTCTGTAGAATCTTAGGGCTATCAATTTAAACAAGTGGAGAGCATCAAGCATTAGTATATATCAACATAGCTTCTAACTTCAAGCAACTCTTGTTGGAGCTAGTACCAAAGAATTGTTGGGTTTATAGTAATTGAATATGCTGATTGGAAAAATTGAATCTAGATGGGTTATCTCCAAAAATTTTTATTCAATTTACAGTCTGTTTAAATAGTTGGGACTAAGTAAGCTTCAATAGAAAAGGGACTTATTAGCTGAGACCTTTAGCATTTCCCTTTAAAAATGTACAAAAAAAAATACAAGATACTACACAGATGAGAATAAGGGTTGATTCACAAAATAAAAATAATCATAATGGAAACATACCTGCAATTCTAGTTTTTCTCCCGATGGTGTCTTGACAGGTACAGGATACAAACGAGATTCTGCTGCTTTAAAAATAGAAGATTCGGTAGACTCAGTTCACCAAGTTCAGAAGAAACAGCAAGTTTATTGTTGATAATAATCAGTTGTAAAAGATTCAATGCAAAGAAAAATTAGCTTTTGCACCAACTCATTCTTTTAGGGTCAGTTTAGTTAGAAGGAAATATGGGTAATTTAAATGTATTTTACTTCATAAATTCATATTCATTGTTTGGCTCCACTGTAAATTCCAATGTAATTAAGAAGTTGAATTTACCAGAAAAATATAAAAAATTAATTTTTTCTATTGACTATTCCAATCCAACCTCACTGAAAAATAGGAAGAAAATTCTATTAGGTCATTATTGTGAATTGCAAGGACCTCATTATAAGAGATTAAAACACAATTTCTTGTGAGCAAAATAAGAAAGAAAAATTATTTTTCCCGCTCAGATCTCTTCTCAATCAAACAATTGGATGAAAAATAATTCAAATTCAATTCCTTTAGCATTTTCTTTCCTTTTCTCAGTGTATAATTCATTGAAACAAGGTAGAACCTTAAGCTTCACAGAAATGTAGATATATTTGGTATAATTAGCAGTTCTAAAAGATGAAATAATCTTAATAAAAAATACTAATAATGCCAATAATTTTGTTATGAATAATAAAACAGTTTCACTAAATAAAAGAGAAATAAACAAAATTAATTCAGATTTTCAAGAACAATCATCTGACAAATAAATCAATAACTCTTGCATATTACTTCACTCAAAGCCTTTTTGCTGCTTCTCGAAAATTTCACCTTAGATAATATAAACAAAGCAGTGTGCGCATCAAAAACTTGTTTGCCACTTAAATTCGCCAATATGCATGGAACTATTAATTCCAAAGTTTATCAGCATCTTCGCCGTTTTAACATGCTTTCAGACGTTCATGGAAATAAAACCTTAGTTCACTATATTATGCAATAAAACAAATTACTTTCCAAACTACTTCAGCACACTTATATTATTGCATTGTCTTAGCTTCAAAAATTAGAAAAGCAGCTCGAGGAATTAACTCAATGGAAGCAAATAAAAGCACAATTGAAGAGCAAGGATCTGAACCTTCTGCTGTTGTTGGCGTAGCTTCTGGAGCAATTGTAGTCACCTCCTCATAATTCTCGGCTTTACTATCAGCAGCACCATTGGCTTCGGGAACATCCCTATTACCAGAATCTAGCGAAACTGAAACTTCTTTTGAAGGCAGCGACTCTGAAGATTCAGTAGCAGTCCGATTAAGGGATTTCCCCCTGTTCTTTGCCTTGTTAGCTTTCCCGGCCATTATCGTATCCTAGTAGCACAACCAGAAAATCAATCGTAAGTATTTGAGTGCGTCAATGCGTGAAGTCTTCTCCTAGATGACAGAAAAACCAATTAGAAAAAATATATATCTTAAAGGCGCAAGTATTAAGAGATGGCCATTGTGTGATCAGCTTTCATCCATTCAGTGGAGCTCAGCATAGAACACCAAAAAAGTAAACAGAAATAACAGAAAAAAAACCAAACAAGGAACCCAACGGATAATTTATTTGTATTCACCAGAGAAAACAATCAAGGAGCATCAAGGCGATCAGCTTTCACCGCCACTGACCAAAAATATAAAATTAAGGAGACCCGGTTGGAGGTGAAATTCAAAGAAACAATGATTTCAGATGGAGAAAAAAAAACATCGCTACGTTATTTTAGCAAAAATCAACCAAATTAATCTTCGAGCAACAAAACTCCGAGAATGAGAAACAAAAGTACCTCGGGAAAGGATGAAAGTGACTGCAATAGCAGAAAGATGGAGAAATGTAGAGACAGAGCGTTTTAGGGAAGAACAGAGGAGAAGATGGCGGCGGATGTAAAGGGTATTGGGAGGTCTTGCTCGCTTTTGAAGCTCAGAAGGCCCCCTTTTTCCTCTTTTTTTAATGATCCCAATTCTTCATTAATAAGTGGAAATGAATGGCAAATTTGGAGATTTTTTCTTTTTTAAGTGCATTGTTGGAATATTGACATTTTATTTATATATATATATTTATATATATATATATATTTTGGTTAGGGTTTGGCTGGCTCCTTTCCCAAACAAGAAGCATATGCGGTCACCTGCATTGATGGTGATAGTAGTTATAATTTAGTGAAAAAATAAAAGGCATTTTCCTACATGCCACCCAATTCTTGAATTGTCACCCGAAAATTATTACATTAGGGCTCCGCGTACAGAGTTATTTGTGGAGTTCAATTTAATTCAATTTAAAACTGACACGTGAAAAATCGGCTCTCCTACATAAAAAAATAAAAACGTGCAGCCTGACCCGACCGATGTGTTACTGAGTAAACAAATATTTTTAGGATTATTTATCATTGTCGCTTTATTATAGTAATATTTCATCTCGTTATTCTGAAGAACACATGATAACACATCAATAACACATAAATAACGTTGAAAATATTCAGAATAACGCGAGGGAATATTCCTAAACCTTCAATAACACATTAAATAACACATGAATAACTCCGAAAATATTTAGAATAATGCGGGGGAATATTCTTAGAATGTGAAATATTCTAAAACACTCAATAACACACCAATAACACATCAATAACATATGAATAACGTGGAAAATATTCAGAATAACGCGAAGGAATATTCCTATAACACGGATTGAATAACACATTAAATAACACATGAATAACGCAAGGAAATATTCCTAAACTCTCAATAATACATCAATAACACATGAATAACACAAAAAAATATTCAGATAATGCAAAGAAAATATCTAGGAATATTCCTAAACCCTCAATAACACTCCAATAATACAAGAATAATGCGGAAAATATTCCGAATAACGCGGGGGAATATTCTTATGCGATGGAATATTTATATAACGCATCGCTCAGGCCGGGTAGCGTGTTTTCATTATTTTTTTCATTTTTTACTTAGGCAGGCCCGACCTTCTACGTGTCAGCGCAAGATTGGACTCCTCAAACAGCACTGAGTCCTGAAGTAATAATTTTTCCGCAAACAAGAAGCATATGCGGCCACCTACATTGATAATTGTTATGATTCAGTGAAAAAATAGAAGGGCATCTTCATACATGTCAACCAATCCTTGTATATTCACATATGTATAATACTGAAATTTTAGCTTTTATATTTATACCATCCAGGTTTTCAATATCAATTTTAGAACATCACCATTTTTACCTTTCAAAAATGAAATGTATTTTTTTTCATCCATAAATAAAATGACAAGTACATAAAAATTAAAATGTAGTGTTTTATATGATACATATGTGATTAGGTTGTAAACGAACCTAGTATGGGCGAGATGAAGGCTTGTTCGTTTTCGATTCATTCATTTTTTTTTGTTTGTATTTGGCTTGTGGTTGATATAACTCGTTAAAAGCTTGTTTGTGTTTGACTCAATTCGAACTTATTTATTCGAATTAAACTTGCGTTTGGCTTGAAATATTATTAAAATTTAATAAATCAAATACAACGATTAAATTATATTTTTTTAAGCTCTCTTAAGAGAGAATAAAATTAAAATAAATCTATACATCCACGTGCTACTACGTGGCTAGCATCAAGTTGGTTTGAGGGGAAAAATTTGTGTACATAAAACGTAAGCAGCGTTGTGTACGTTTGGGAGGTTATACAATGAGTACAAGAGGGTTATATCCGCGTTATACCCTCTTGTAATCTCCATGTAACATTTTTGTAACCTACAAATAAGTTTCGCGCTTTTGTTTTTATATATTAAAAATTTATTTGTAGGTTACAGGTTGATTATAGAAGGTTACATGAAAGTTACAAGGAGGTATAACGTGGATATAACTTTCTTATACCTCTTATATAATCTTCAAAATATACGCAGCCCTACGTACTCAAATTTTTTATGATTTTGAGAGGCATGTATTTCCTTCTTGCCTTCTAGAGAGAGTTGCTTAACAATTTTATTTTAATATGAGAGGGAAGGCGGGACCTTGCAATATTTTATAAATATTGTTTGTGACATTCACATAGAACCCATGCAATTCTTATGTATTCACAAAGTCAACATAAAAGGCTGGACCACTTTGGAAGAGCAAAAAATTAAGCTTTTATTTTTATGGCATTTACATACATACCAAATACTTATGTATTAACATATCCAATATAAAAAGTTATTTTTTATTAATATTCCTAGCTAATATTATTTCAAATCTAATAAAATTTAATATTTTTTAAAATATAATATAAAATTTTAATATATAAACATTTACTAATAATATTTATTTATTATTTAATTGATTCGAGTCAAATTGAGCCAAACATGAACAAACAACGAACAAACTTTTGCTCGTGTTCGTCTCTTTTATAAATCGAGCTAAAAAAAGTTGATCGTGTTCAACTTGTCTACTCAACGAACAAATCAAACATAAGCTACTTAATGAGCTAAACATGATTTGTTCGCAGACAATAAGCATTTTGGACAGCCCTGCATGTAATTAGACAGCTTAGGGAGCAAAAAAGCAGAAACGGAGTTCTTAAGAGTTGGATAGGTGCCTCTGTGTCAGTCCTAAATGCCCCTATGCCTGATGTGAAGCCTCAGGCGCACCTCAATCAGCCCAGGCACCCCGCATAATCCCACAATCTGACATTTAAGCGTCTAAAATGAAGCCTTCCTCTTCAGGTGGAATGACAGAGAACCCGAAAAAGCAATGCTCAAGACCCGGCACCCCTACACTCATACCAGCACCCTTGTGCCCAAATGCATGGGATTATAGTTTGTAACACTTCACTCATGTTGTTTCGCATCTGATGACTTAAAATACAAAGGATTTCAAAGGAGCATAGGCTATATATCAATTTCTCTTATATTTTTTGTAATTTCAACTTTTTGTGTGTGTATGTGCGCGCGCGGGGTGTGATTTTGTAAGAGAGTTGGGAGTCTAAAAACTATTCCTACTGTATCACAAGTAATTTTAAAGATTAAATCCTACAGAAATCCTACTTAACCTAGTTGTTGGATTGATGAATATTAGGTTTTATGGTTACCCTCCCTTGTAATGATTTAAGCAGAGTACAGGAAATGTAAAGTGTTAATTGTCAATTTGGCTAGTGACAACTAGGAACAACTCTATTATTTACTCTCTCTCCCGATTGCATAAAGAAGATTGGTTAAAACGGTTGTGATTCCTTAAATTTTGTTTGATTAGTGAAGACACGCAAGTGCTTGATCTTGGGAGATCAAAGCAAAGGAGGATCTCTTTGTATGGAGAGGACTGATATGCAATTTAAAGAGAAATAAATCGAGTTTAAATATTCTTTGCTTGTAAACATTCGTTTTAAGATTTCAATTAATTTTTTTTTTCTACAATCATCTGTCGTAACTAAGTGTTTTCATACTTCTATATTTAGCAATGAGATGAATCATATTCTATCCATGAGATTTATCTAGACTATTAAGTGATTTATAACATTTTATTTTTTTATCATATTTTACTTTCAATCTGACTGATTAAAAAGTTAAAATCTCTTGTGATCTAGCACTTCTGATCATCGCCTAAAAAAATAAGTAGGATAACACATAATAACATATTTAAATAAAAATATTATCATTATGAGATTGCTATCAAAATAGGGGACTTAAGTCTTAACGATGTGGGGCATCCTCAAAGTTTGAACAATTGTCTTTTTCCGCATTCAAATCAATTTCATAGTCAGAAAAAAGTAAAGATAAGCTCTTCAGAGAGAATGAGTAGGCCTTGTCTTTAGTTATCAAGAGATTATAGGATATTATGAAAACTCCCTTAAGCGACGAAAAAAGAGAAAGATGAATCAATCGAAATAAAATCTTGAGAAACATTACATGGTTAAGCCAGCTAAACTGTAATATAAATTTCTAATACTTCTTATGACCTTGGAAGAGGCTATGGTTGATAATAATAGTTTGGAAATTAACTGGAAGAATATCGAGAATTCACACGATCAAATTCACAAAAGTATGATATTTTTTTTTTTGCATAGTCAGAAAACCCTAATCTCATTTAGTAGGAATTTATTATTATATCTAGGATTAAATGCTTTAAAAACTAAATTTAAGACTTAAAAAACTTGAAATTACTCTATTGTGAAAATTAACAAAGTTTTATGTGGGATTTATATACAAACTCAAATTCGTTTATTACTTGAGCGACATGTATTCTTAAGTGATTTTTGTGTGTTTCATAGCATATCAGGCTTCAAGTTTTTTGCATTGTTGTCGAAGGTTTTCATTTTAGGATACTTTTAGTTGAACTTTTACAATTTAGATTTGAAACGTGTTCCGCCTTTTTTTTTCTGTTTTTTGTTACTATTTTTTGTGTTATTAAAAAATTATACTTCATGTGACTCTTATCTTTGTTTTTTACTCATATTCCTATTTTATGTTATTTCAGCGAATTTTGTTTTTGAATTTGTATTTTCTACTTGTTTAAGATCACTTACATGTCAGTAGGGCTATTGACGATCTAATTTCGAGTCGAGTTGTGGTATACTCAAAATCGGCTATAATAAATTTAGTTCGGCTCGTGGCTCGTAATATTCGATTTTGAGTCGAGTGGGTTTGAAATCGAATCGAGCTCGATCAGGCTCGAAATCAAAATGAGCTGGCACAAATTGAGTTATTTGGATCCATTTCAACTTGGAATCAGCTCGATCTAGCTAAAAATGAAACAATTTGAATAAAATTTAGTTATTTGGATATGTTCCAACTCGAAATTGGCTTGTGACTTCTTATATTTAATTTTACTTAGCATTGTATATATAATTTTTATAAATAAAAAATATGTGAGCCGATCCCGAGTTAATTCAAGTTGATCCATGCATGGCTCGAAATCGGCTAAAAAAAATTCAATCCAAAGTTTTGGTTCATAGCACATCTCGTTTATTTTGTTCTCTCCAACTAAGC